GAACTCCTGGGTCCAAATGAAACCGTTACAGCTGATCGCTACAAACAGCAATTATACCGATTGAGTGACGAATTGATGCAAAAAAGATCATCCGTAGCCAACAATCGACGCAAAGTCATTTTGTTGCATGATAACACTCGACCGCATGTCGCGAAAAACGTGAAGCAGGCACTTCTACAGCTTGAATGGGAAGTTCTCCCGCATCCAGCGTACTCTCCAGACTTGGCACCGTCGGATTACCATCTCTTCCGATCGATGCAACACGCACTTACGGACATACACTTCTCCAGTCACAACGAAGTCCAAAAATGGGTGGATGAATGGATCGCCTCGAAAGACATTGCGTTCTACCGTCGTGGGATTACCCTGTTGCCAGAGAGATGGGAAAAAGTAGTAGAAAATGGAGGAAACTACTTTGATTAAGGTATTCATTCATCTTCCCTTCGAAACAAATTAATTTTGGAGATGAAAAACGGCAGGAATTAAGTTTAAAATCTAATATATATACAAAGTAATATATTTTTATATCTTGAAATTATCCCTCCATCTGTTTTTATTTTTTATTGCAAAACTTACATCATTCATAAATGAATTAAATAGCATTCATCAATATATCTTATTTTTCACGTTTTGTTATTACTTAGATGTGCTGAGCCACCTGTATTAGCCAATAAAAGGATGATTCATTGGTACAAATGGAAGGGAGAAGTCTTTTGCGACGAATTTTCACATTTTGCAGAAAGAATGACCATTAACATTGCAAGTATTTCTAGTAAACAGGTTGTAACATTCAAACCTGGTTCTGGAATGATTACTGTTCTGGCCATATTGACTGCTCTGCTTGGAATCCTAATGATAATTGGCATGCTATTGATTCGAAGAATGAATGCAAAAAGAAGACGAATCAATCGTAGACATTAAAATTTTTTATTCTTATAAAAACATGAAGACTAATTTTGGAAAAAAATATAAAAGATATTTTTTATTATATTTTTAGCACAACTTACATAATATGTAATCTATGTAATTCTTGCAAAAATTGCATAGATTAGTCGTCATAATTTATAATCATTTTCTAATTTTTTTTTA